AGAAGAAGAAACACGTCCACAGCAGGGTTTAGTCCTGTTAAATCCTGTTTGAGACCTGGTTTAGACCTAGTTTTAGTCCTAGTTTAGTCCTGTTTAGTCTTGGTTTAGTCCTAGTTTAGATCTGGTTTTAGACCTGGTTTAGACCTGGTTTAGTCCTGGTTTAGACCTGGTTTAGACCTGGTTTAGACCTGGTTTAGACCTGGTTTAGTCCTGGTTTAGTCTTGGTTTAGTCCTAGTTTAGATCTGGTTTTAGACCTGGTTTGGACCTGGTTTAGACCTGGTTTAGTCTTGGTTTAGTCCTAGTTTAGATCTGGTTTTAGACCTGGTTTGGACCTGGTTTAGACCTGGTTTAGTCTTGGTTTAGTCCTAGTTTAGATCTGGTTTTAGATCTGGTTTAGACCTGGTTTTAGACCTGGTTTAGACCTCTTGGTTTAGTCTTGGTTTAGTCCTAGTTTAGATCTGGTTTTAGATCTGGTTTAGACCTGGTTTGGACCTGGTTTAGACCTGGTTTAGTCTTGGTTTAGTCCTAGTTTAGATCTGGTTTTAGATCTGGTTTAGACCTGGTTTAGACCTGGTTTAGTCTTGGTTTAGTCTTGGTTTAGTCTAGTTTAGATCTGGTTTTAGATCTGGTTTAGACCTGGTTTACCTGGTTTAGACCTGGTTTAGATCTTGGTTTAGTCCTAGTTTAGACCTGGTTTAGACCTGGTTTAGTCCTGTTTAGACTGGTTTCTGGTTTATACCTGGTTTAGACCTGGTTTAGTCCTTTAGGTTTAGTCCTAGTTTAGATCTGGTTTTAGACCTGGTTTGGACCTGGTTTAGACCTGGTTTAGTCTTGGTTTAGTCCTAGTTTAGATCTGGTTTTAGACCTGGTTTGGACCTTGGTTTAGTCCTAGTTTAGATCTGGTTTTAGATCTGGTTTTAGACCTGGTTTAGACCTGGTTTAGTCTTGGTTTACTGTCCAACAATGAGTGGAATTACCAAAAAAAAACCAAAAAACAAAAACAAGTGAAAACAGTAAAATCCCTCTGTGTAATCCATTTATTTCAACAAAGTAACTGTAATCCAATTACCACTCACTGAAACAGTAACTGTAACTGAATACAGTTACTCATCATTTGTACTCTGATTACGTAACTCTGGTACATGTAATCTGTTACTCCCCAACACTGTTGACTATAGAGACATTATTTATTTTAAAATGTATTATTATTTTATATTCTGCTTTTTCTGGATTCAGTGTTTAAGCAAATATTTATTTGAATAAGAAAAGGTTTAACATTACAGATCTGGAAAGAAGAAAAAACATGCAGAAGTTGTTGACATTTTTCAATAAACATTTAGTTTGGCCAAAGACTTAGTCCCAGGTTTTAATTTTAGCCTCTGAATTTGAGTTTGACACTTCTGCTGTAAACGTTTCTTTTCGATTTTGTTATAATAACATTTGTAGTGTTGGATTTGTGAACACACAGACACTTTCTGAGTGTTGTTTGTGTGTTTCATATAAACTTTGTGGACTTTTATCATCACAGTTATGATTTAGACTTTATTTTTTATTGAATCGTATCGAATCGATTTGAAATATATCGTATCGAATCGAAAGTTCACTCTATCGAGATCTGTATTGTATCAGCAAATTCTTAAGTAAACAAAAAAAAGTAAAGTTTCCTCTTGTGGATTACTTCCTCGGGCTCAGAGTGGGCTTAGGTTAAGTCTTACAGAGCAAAGTTTTAGAGGATTGTAACTATTTTTTAAGTTTATGTTGTGAAAATAGAAAATAATCCCTACGAAATCCGATCTCTGTCAAAGCTGTCGAGTTTGAGTTCACAAAAAACTCATTGTGCTGTATGGGGGAGTTTGTTTGTGGCTGAGCTGCAGGATCGGGTCAGAGGGGGCGGGGCTTAACCGGGTCTTATTATAGAACCATGACATCGTCCCAAATATTTTACCTCATGTATTTAGACTTCGACAAACTTTTATTGATCCACAAGGGAAATTACTCGGACACAGGAGCTCAGACGTCACAATAAAATATAACAACAAAGAGAAAAAAATATAAATGGTGATTAAAAAAATCGTAAATAAGTAGCAAAAAATATAGAAAAAGGACAAAAACTCTAAATAAAATAGAAAAATATGTAATACATTTTTTAAAAAATCTATATACAAGACGTCAAAAAGTTGTAGGGAGTATTATCAGTTACATAAGGGTGAGTTGTACAGTTGTAGGGATTATTATACGTTACATAAGGACGAGTTGTTGTACAGTTGTAGGGAGTATTATCTGTTACATAAGCGTGAGTTGTTGTACAGTTGTAGGGAGTATTATCTGTTACATAAGCGTGAGTTGTTGTACAGTTGTAGGGATTATTATACGTTACATAAGGACAAGTTGTTGTACAGTTGTAGGGAGTATTATGTTACATAAGGCTGAGTTGTTGTACAGTTGTAGGGAGTATTATCTGTTACATAAGGGCGATTGTTGTACAGTTGTAGGGAGTATTATCTGTTACATAAGGGCGATTGTTGTACAGTTGTAGGGAGTATTATCTGTACAGTTTGATCATTTTCTGTGGTTATTTTGACAGGGATTAATTGCGTTTTTTGTTGTGTTTTCAATATTTCCCAAGTCCTAATTTTGGAAGAAAAAAAAAAAAGAAAAAAAAGGACTTTGTTTAATTTTCTTTTTGAACTGAGCCGGCCTCAGTTGTTTTTTTTTTTTGCCAAAGTTCATGCGAGGCGACCGGATCGGCGTGACGGTCTGCGGAGGATCTGAGGAGGATCTGAGGAGGATCTGAGGAGATTCTGAGAGATTCTGAGGATTCTGAGGAGATTGAGGAGATCTGAGGAGGATCTGAGGAGGATCTGAGGAGATTCTGAGGAGGATCTGAGGAGGATCTGAGGAGGATCTGAGGAGGATTCTGAGGAGGATCTGAGGAGGATCTGAGGAGGATCTGAGGAGATTCTGAGGAGATCTGAGGAGATTCTGAGGAGGATCTGAGGAGGATCTGAGGAGGCTTTGTGCTCGTCTGATCGTCTGGGCTGGACGTGCGAGGGCGTTTCTGGCCCATTACACGCCAGGTTACACGCTCGAGCACAAGACGCGGCTGCCCTCGGGAGACCGCGCCCTCGCTCCATCCATCACTGACACTTTTCAAAAACACCATGTGCTTTTTAACTCGATTACGAGGACGGGTCTGACTCCTGCGCCGGTTCTGTTCGCACGAGGAGCACAGAGCAGGGCCTGTGTTTTCGCTTCCTTACACGGGCTTGTTAACGTCAGCTTTTTTTTTGGGAGATTCGCGCCGCGTTACGACACCGTCCCCTCATCAGAAGCGCGTCTGATGAGGTTGTGAGCGCACGAGCCTACGTCAGCCACGCTCCCGCACGACACTTCTCCATCGAAACACAAAAACAGGAAACAAAACAATGCTCCAAAACCTGACAAACCCGACGTGATGTGCGGCGGGTTCATTAGCGGGATGCACGCTGATTGTCATGACGAGGTGTTATGCAAAATGTGCTTTTGTAACGATGTTCCCTCGTCACAAACCCGCCTGGAGAGCTTTTACAGGCATTCATACGTGTTTGAGTCATCTAGTGATCTCTCCCGGGCCCTGTTCGAACAATTCTCCACAAATACACAAAAACACGAGGCGAAACTGAGCACGACGACTTGATGCGATGCGCGGTGGTTTCGTTAGTGGGGCGCGCGGTGGTTGTGTCGTGATGGCGCTCTGAAGGGGGAGTGACTAAGTGCAGAGAGCAAAGGAAGAGCCTGAATCTTAAGTGAAATCTAGAGAATCCTGTCCTGTTGTGGTGTTTTGTATTGTATGTGTGTGTGTGTTTGTGTGTGTGTATTGTCTCCTCACTCCTTGACAGTGTGTTTGTGTGTATTTGTGTGTGTGTGAGTGTGTGTATTGTCCCCTCACTTCTTGACCATGCATTTTGTGTTTGTTTGTGTGTCTGTGTGTGTGTGTGTGTGTTGTGTGTGTATTTGAGCCTGACCGATATGTTTTTTGTGAAACTGATATGATATTGATATAATTCCATCAATCAGGGCCGATATAATTGGCGATAATTCTTTAAAAAAAAAAAAAAAAATGAAAAATGTACTGCTTTGTATGAGTTACACAATAATAATAATCATGTAAACTTTCAGCGTTTTCCAAAAAGTTTTTTGAGTAACAATCAGGTGCAATAATTTACTTTTTAACATATTGAAACGTTAACCACAACATAATAATAAAATAATAGTAAAAATAATAAATATATATATATATATATATATATATATATATATGTACTAAATATACTAAATAAAAAAAATATGTTGTTCAATAACCATAATAATAATATTTAAAAACAAAATAACTAAAAATAAATATCTCTATATTTTAAAAAAAAAAGGAACTCAGAGCCCACGGTCAGGGTCAGGAGGTCTCGGAGCTCTGGTCTCGCTCTCTCGGTCTCGCTCTGGTCTCGCTCTGGTCTCGCTCTGGTCTCCTCCGGTCTCTCTGGTCTCGCTCTGGTCTCCTGGTCTCGGTCTCGCTCTGGTCTCGCTCTGGTCTCTCTGGTCTCGCTCTCGGTCCCGGTCTCTCTCGGTCTCGCTCTGGTCCCGCTCTGGTCTTCCTCTGATCGGCCCACATGATGTCGTCCAAGTCCACCATTTCCAAATGAAAACAGACTCAGACTCTGTGCAGCTGCAGTTGTTCCTTCTGGAGCGACTCGAGTGGATTTACTCACGTGACCAAATTCCCAAACTCGAGCGACCTGAGCGCACGAATGAAGCGAATGACGTTTGGTTTGAACACGAATTTACAGGGCTGTAACAGCAGAGGAAAAAGAAAAATGAAAAATATCGGCGCTGATTGGAGGAATTTCCCCAGACCCTGATATCGGCCGATAATATCAACTGGCCGATATATCAGTCGGGCTCTAGTATGTTTGTTTTCACTTCTTGACAGTTTTTTAACCGTGCGTGTTGTGTTTGTGTTTTCCAGGAGCAGCTCGGAGCGTCGTAAGGAGAAGTCTCGTGACGCCGCTCGCTGCAGACGGAGCAAAGAGACGGAGGTGTTCTACGAGCTGGCGCACCACCTGCCCCTGCCCCACACCGTCTCCTCGCACCTGGACAAAGCGTCCATCATGAGACTCGCCATCAGCTTCCTGCGCACACGCAAACTGCTCGCCTCCGCCTCGTGCGCACACACAGGTACAGACGGTTTGGCAGAGCTCGGACTTGTGTGTTTTGTTCTTTTACTTTTGTACCATCTCAAGTTCTTCATTGGACTTGCACGACTTGAATTGCAATAAATAACTGGAAAAATTAGGCAAAGGCAAAAGGCAGAATCTGACGTGATCATTGTTTGCTTGATTTTCACTCACGACATTAATAATATTTAGAGTGGCTGATGGGAACACTTCTTACTCTTTTTACTCTTCAAAAATATATTTTTTTCTGTGTGTTCAGAGTTATACACATTTTACTATATATAATATATATACAATTTAAATTTCTCCACACGTCTCTTTGGCTTTTTCTCGTCTCCACACTTCTTCGTTCACAACCTCCTCATCAGGGACTAAACCAGGACTGAACCAGGATTAAACTAGGACTAAACTAGGACTGAACGTGGACTGAACGTGGATTAAACCAGGACTAAACAAGGACTGGACCATGTCTAAACCAGGACTAAACCAGGTTTGAACCAGAACTAAACCAGGACTGAACCAGGACTAAACCAGGACTAAACCAGGACTAAACCAGGACTGAACCAGGACTGAACCATGTCTAAACCAGGACTATACCAGGACTAAACCAGGACTGAACCAGGACTGAACCAGGTCTAAACCAGGACTAAACCAGGTCTAAACCAGGACTAAACCAGGTCTAAACCAGGTTTGAACCAGGACTAAACCAGGACTGAACCAGGACTGAACCAGGTCTAAACCAGGACTAAACCAGGACTAAACCAGGTCTAAACCAGGACTAAACCAGGTCTAAACCAGGTTTGAACCAGGACTAAACCAGGACTGAACCAGGACTGAACCAGGTCTAAACCAGGACTAAACCAGGACTAAACCAGGTCTAAACCAGGACTAAACCAGGACTAAACCAGGTCTGAACCAGGACTAAATGAGAACTGACCCAGGACTGAACCAGGACTAAACCAGGTCTAAACCAGGACTAAACCAGGACTAAACCAGGACTGAACCAGGTCTAATCTTGGACTTGAGCGGTTTGTCCTCGGTCGTTCACTCTGTTGTTATTTTTTTTTAATGTTCTTGTTGAACCGGTGACGTTCTTTGTTCTTTCCGTTCCCTTCAGCTCCAGTGTTGCGTTTCGAGATAAAAACAGTCTCCTCTTCCTGGTATAGACGACCCTTTAACACCTGCCGCCGCTCGCACCTGTCTGTGTACATGTACGCACCTGCCACCATATACATACATACATACATACATACACGCACGCACGCACGCAGGTCCATATGGAGACGCACTAAAGGTCAAACAGCCTCAGAACAAAAAACACTTCAGCGAGAACAGCACAGAGGACCCTTCAAAAACAGGACGTGAGCATGGGGGCGCTTCTGGCTCCATCGACTCCAGGCTCCAGTTTACTATACAATGAAAAACTGTCACCCCTCTTCATGTACCTGCTGCCGTGAGCCTCGTCATGTTGGTCTTAAAATTAGGTCTGAGTATCATTAAGAAGTTACCGATACGATACATATCTCGATATAGTGCACTTTCAATTCAATATGATATGTTTATTTTGTTTATTTATTTCATTCATAAAGTATAAAAAGACATCGACAGTGTCACAACATCAGACACACAAGAAATGAATGAAAAGGAGCAGAAAGAAGAAAAATCTTATGTTATCTTGCCCCCCTTTCCCCTTTCAAGACAAAACAGCAACACCGATGGTCACTAAACATTCCAAATCAGTTCAGGCACAATTACTGATCAACTGCAAACAGTAATCTTCACTTTTATGCACAACAACTTAGTTTTCTTGTCCATACGTACACACTGCATTTGATTTTATGTATTTTTTAAATGTCATCATTGTACTTGATTCTTTTATTTCTTTGTCTTATTCCATAAGTAGTAGTCCACATATTTCAAATCAAAGATGAAAAAAACCCAAGGCACTAACTGGTTAAAATGAAATGCCTTTATTAATTTACAGCACGTCTTAATGGGCAACTTACAAAGTCCCGACGCGTTTCAGCCTAGGTCTTTAATCAGGGGACAACTTAATTAATTAAGTTGTCTATTAAGACGTGCCGTACATTAATAAAAGCATTTTATTTTAACCAGTTAGTGCCTTGGGTTTTTTTTGTCCATCTTTAAACCGACTTCCCTTCCCAAAGAGCACCACTGAGTTTTATCTACTGTGTATTATCTTCTGGAGGTCCAGGAAGCACTTCTTTTGAAACCTTTTTTTATATTTCAAATCGATACGATGCAGTTCAATTAAAAAAATAAAGGTTAAATCATGTCTGTGATACTAAAAGTCTTTGTTGTGTGTCCCATAAACAAGTTTCCTTCCTCTGAACAAGCAACAAAACTGTAGCTGTAACAAAATAATTTAGTAAAATAAACCAAAAAATACTCAGTAATGATACAGCAGCCCACGATATCAATGCTGTATCATCACATTAAACGATACAATATATATCGATATTTTGATATTTTTGCACAGTCCTACTTAAAATGTTCATATTAACCCGCTCTTCATGATCCTGGAGGTTTTTATTTCTGTATTTTGTCCGTGAATAAATTCCTATTCCTGTATTGAACTCATTTATTTATTTATTTTATTTTGTTCTATTTTATTCTATTTTATATTATTTTATTATTTATTTTATTTAATATTATTTAATTTTATTTTATATTATTTTATTTATTTTTTATTTTTTATTTATTTTTTATTTATATTTTATTTTATTCAATTTTTTTTTTAAATATATTATATTATTTTATTTTATTTTGTTTTGTTTTATTTTATTTTAAACAAGGACAGTGCACAGAAAACCTTAAATGCCAAGAGAAAAGATGCTCTGTGCAAGATTTAGCTCCCAACTCCCTTCCATTTTCAGTTCTTGCGCGGGTACAAATTAATTAATTAAAATTAAAGAAATGATTTGCATTAAACGAACTCTAACAACAACACAAATGATTTATTGTGTATATAAAGTGCTTCCTGGTTCGTAGAAGATAGAAAAGTGTTGAATATGCAACCATTTTAAAATGCCTTAAAGGTCCTATATTTCACACAATTTACTTTTTTTGTTTAGTTTTTTAAGCTTTGTTCTAACTCTGTTTCCTCCTCAAAAACTGGCGTTGTTTAAATTACCAAAATAAAAGCCTTTTAATTATACATATTATATATTTTCTTCATGAGACTTTTACTTTTTTAGTGCCTGGAATTTGTTGCATTTAAAGTTTTGATCCTTTTTCCAAGAGCAGCAAACAGCCACATTTTTATTTTTCTGTACCTGGAGTTGTGTTCGTCTACATCTCCAAAGCTCAAAAATACTCTGTTCCACCTTGTGATGTCATGAAGCGGAAGTTTTCAACTGAACGGCTCCTTTTACTTTTAATTCGGCAGTTCTTCATTATCTCTCGTTTCGTTCTGTGTAATGAGTTTGTTATTTTGATAGTGCACCTTTAAGTCGGTCACTATCGGGTCCATTGTTTTGTGGTTTACTGTGTCGTGTGTGAAACCATGACGCAGACGGAGCACCTCCTGCAGATCGCGGGGTTTAAATATAGAAATCAGCCCATTGTTCTCCCGTTCCTGTGTCTGTGGCCAACACATCGAGAATCCATCTGAACCAGATTCAAGCGTCTGGAGCAGAACGAACGCTTCATCACAAACGCTTTTTTCATCTGGGTCCTGACATGCTTTACGTTTTGATTTTTATTGACATGTGTAATTCTTAGTTGTCCACATTCTATTCCCTGTTTTTTGAGTAAATCCTGGTTGAGTTCTGGTCTCTGGCCTCGTCCTGGTTTAGTTTTGGGACCCAGATGTGTGTGAGCTGGTCTTGTGGACAGTCCTGACCCAGTTCTTGGTGGGATTCTTTCTGAACATCACCAGTGTGTGGAGTGAATCAGCCACGTTGCACTTTCTCCCTCACAGTTGGTCCAAAATTCTGCTGCGTGACTTTTAACTGGGAACTAAAAAACGTGAGCACATTATCCCGATCGTTGCACCGGCTTCCAGTTCGTGTCAGAGTTGATTTTAAGATTTTATTGTTTGTTTCTCTGACCCCACGTTACGTCTCGGACCTCATCCAGATTTCCTCCCCCGTGCTGCATTTTGAGGTCCGAGGTCCAGCTCCAGCTCGCGGGGCCTCGAACAAGACGTAGGGTCTGTTTACACGCGATGCTTGTGGGTAAAAACGACAAAATATTTTATCAGAAGTGTCTTTCGTCTAGTGCAGGGGTGTCAAACATGCGGCCCGGGGCCTGGATCCAGCCCTCCAAGACCTTTCATTTGGCCTCGGCTGATTTTCTACTAAAATATTTGAATTACATTTTCTCTTAAAATATTGTTAATTTTCTGTGGTGCTTAGCTCAATGTCTCATGACCTCTGGGCCGAATGAGCATGTGCAGTAGTGTTTATTTCTCCTGCGGGCTCACGCGAATGCACGCACGGAGCACAGACTCGTGTATCACGTGACTGATTTGACCAATCGGAGAGAGGAACAGAGCTGAGCCGGAGCGAACGATTATAAAGCGTTTTTTAAGACAACTGAGAAAAAGTTTATGATCTAAAAATAAGTAAAAATCGCCACAAAATCCGACATTTTTGAAAGTTGTAGGTCCCTGTCAGACGAACACTAAACACGAAAATTCCTCTCGCAGCCCATGAGATTTTTTCCGCTGTAGTTCCAGTGTCACTACGTCAACTGGAGGCAGCTACAAGCAGCAACACCTCCAGTTATTTTAACTCTTTCCCCCATGAAGACGACATTTGACGACCCCCCCTGGAACCTTAATGACGACTTTTGACTCCTCCGCTGTATCACTAAAGACGTGATTTGACGACCTTTAGAAATGGCTCGGTTTTTCACATTTAAACAGAGACTGTGATAGGTAGGGGCCACTACAACCCACACTAGGCTGACCATTAGGATTCAAGGATATGTTTTCGCAGATTTTTTCCGAAGTTAATCGAAGTAGTGACGATTGTA